ATATGGAATGGACTGGATAATGACATCAAACAGAGCCATGATATCATTCGGTTAAAAAATAGATTAAAGAAATCATTACTGGACCAATATAGATAAGTATAGACTGAAACACAGGACTAAATTTGCAATGTGAAAATATTGTGGTTAAGGTATTGTTGTGAGTTATGTAAGATCTGAGAAAAATGTATGCTGTAACTGCGTATTTATTTGCTTTTTAATATTATTATTTTTGTTAAATAGGGGCAGGTTTAAATAAGCTAATTGCTTCTGCCTGCTCCTTCTCAAACAAATTTTTTATTTTTATTATTTTTGGTTGTTGTTGTTGTTTTGGTATTATTATTATTATTACTATTATTTATATATATATATATTTATTTTTTGATGGTTGTGTTTTACTTTGTGGTTTTAATTATTGTTTTGTTGTTGTGTATCTATGTTGATTGTTTGAGACAAATAATAAAGAAAGAAAGAAAGAAGAAAGAAACCCATTGTTTTTGTGTGCAGATCTCAGAGCCTAGACGCGGTTTTTGGACGGCATGCTAATGGGGCGGGCAGCTACCGGATTGCTAGGAAAAATTAGATGAATGTGATCATTTATGTTTCGGCCTTTTTTGGGCCTGAAATCGCTGATAGCACCTTTAATGCCGTTTTTAAGAGGAGCAGCGCCACTTCTTCTCCTGTGTTCAAAATTCATTCACTTCTTGGAGGGAGCCCGGTCTACAGGGTGTCACGTGATTTTCGTGCATCTAACCTGGACATTGCCATTGCTAACATCAGACCGAAAATATGGCAAAATCTTTTACTATGGTGATTTTTCTTAAGTATTTAAGTATTTGAAATACTCAAATACACTCCCTCAAAATATTTTGTTACAAACTACATTTTATTTTTTCCACACCTGCAAAATACAAATTACAAAATACACTAAAGTCATTAAATACGTATTTAAAATACATTTAATTGAAATACTGCCCATGTCTGGTGCATATCCCTATAGCACTTTTATATGTAACTTTGTTGTTTGTTCTGTTTTTTAACTTGAACTTCGGAGGAGCTCCTCCGAAAAATCCTTAAACGAGTAACAGCATTCTTGCCTATTGTCCCACATGGCTGTTCCCCATTCTCTAGCTTGGCCGACCACGAGTGTGAGGGCGAAGACCACTTTGGATCATTCTGTGGAAAAACAGGAGGGCTGGAGTTAAAAAGTCAGAGAATACTGTGACTCAAGCCGTTCTGTGAGCTCTGCAAGCTGGAGAGACGTCTCAGAGAAGGTGTGGCGAGAGGTGGTGAGTTCCTCCTGCTGCCGTCCCAGAAGGATGCCTTGCTCCATGAGGACTCGGTGTATGTCTCCTCTGCTGAATCAATGTTGTGTTCAGTAGATTCTGCCAGGGACATGAACAGAGGACTCAAATGCAGAGTGACCAAAGTTTATTAGAAAACTTCATGAATTCGGCATCAACGTGAAGTGACGTGCGTTAAGAATATATGGGAATGTATGGGCGCTCCAGTGCTGTCCTTATAACAGCGGACACACAGGCTGTGGACCTCCCCAGATGCAGTGCACAACGGGAGTGAACAACCTGCTGAGAAACTCCTCGTCTAAGCGTCCTGGGCACAGTAGCAAACAAAAGGTAAGACACAAGAAACACACACGGAAGAGTCCAAAGAACACATGAGACGGAGCACAAATGATCTACTGACAACATGAGGCAGACACATTTCATTGAATCATTTAACAGACACTTTTATCCAAAGCGACTTACTAATGGAGAGCAATAGAAGCAATTAGACCAACAATATGCAAGTGCTGTAACAAGTCTCAGTTAGTCTAGCACAGTACACATAGCAAGTGTATTTTTTGTTTGTTGGTTTGTTTTTTATCAGAAGAAACACAACAAATGCAATAGAATATGGAAGTGCTAGTATTAATTGGTCAGGTGCTGACAAAAAAGATGTGTCTTTAGACATTATTTTGAAAATGGCTAAAGACTCAGCTTCTCGAATTTAGATAAGTAGGTCATTCCACCAGCTGGGAACAGTCCAGGAAAAGGTCCATGAGAGTGATTTCAGCTTCTTTGGGATGGCACCACGAGGCGTCATTCACTTGCATGCTTCTGGAGGGCCATAAATCTGAACTAGCGAGTTTAGGTATATTGGTGCAGAGCCAGTGGTTGTCTTGCAGGCAAACATCAGTGCCTTGAATTTGATGCAAGTGGCTATTGGCAGCCAGTGCAAATTGACAAAGAGAGGTGTGACGTGTACTTTCTTCGGGTCTTGGAAGATCAGCCTTGCTGCTGCATTCTGGATCAGTTGCAAAGGCTTGATAGTACATGCCGGAAGGCCTGCTAAGAGAGCATTACAATAGTCCAGTCTAGAGATAACAAGAGCTTGGACAAGGAGTTGTGTGGCCTGCTCTGATAGGAAGAGTCTAATCTTCCTAATGTTGTATAAAGGGACCTGCAGGACCGGGCCGTTGTAGTATTATGGTCTGTGAAACTTAACTGATCATTAATGACAACTCTAAGCTTCCTGGCTGTCCTGACAGGAGTTATGGTTGTATAGCGAAGTTGTGATGAAGTGTTGGGTTGGCTGAGACCACAAGCAATTTTTGTCTTAGCAAGGTTGAGATGAAGGTGATGGTCCTTCATCCAGCAAGAAATGTCTGTCACGCAAGCTGAGATGCGAACATTTACCGTCAGATCCTTTGGTTGGAATGAGAGGTAGAGTTGTGTGTCGTCAGCAGAACAGTGATAGGAAACGTCATGTTTCTGAATAACAGATCCCAGTGATGACATGTATGGAGAGGAGAAGTGGTCCAAGCACTGTGCCCTGAGGCACCCCAGTAGCTAGATGTTGTGACTTTGACACCTCACCCCTCCAAGACACCCTGAAGAGGTAACTTGAACCACTGGAGTTCAGTTCCTGCAATGCCCATCTTCACGAGGGTTGACAGGAGGATCTGGTGGTTAACTGTGTAAAAAGCAGCAGGCAGATCCAGCAGGATGAGTACTGAGGATTTGGAGGCTGCTCTCTCCAGTCTCAGAGCTTCAGACACAGCAGAGAATATAAGTGACAGGTGTTGATCGTGGTAATCAGCTCGTAATTTGCACACCACGCTACTAAGTCAGAGCTGATTGCCCAGGTCATGAGCTGCAGAACATGTCAGGACAAACACACACAACATGGGAAGGCCATGATCCACCCTGAACCATGACAGTTTAATGTCCCAGACAACCTCTGTGGTCCCATTTACCCACTTGTTAGCAATCGCCTTTTTCAAGACACGTAACAGATTATAAAAAATCACAAGAGGGTATTGCATGTGTATTGCATATGTATTTCATATCATAAAAAAAAAAAACATGAAAATATCTTGAGCTTGTGTTTACCACAGAACTTTTATCAAGCATTTAACCAAAAACCCATTTAAGAAACCCATTGACTTCAGGATGATGCACTCGGAAGTGCTAAAATGCCTACAAAAATACGTCATCCCTGTATTCTGCAGCTGTGTGTAAAAAACAGTGTTAACCACACTTCACACATTTTAAAGTCCTTCACTGTAAAGCTAAAAGTGCTTGTGTTAATACAGTACAGTCATTTGGTTGCTGTTGATCTGATGAGCAACAACACAGTAAGACAAACACACTTATATTTAAATGAAAACTGATGATTGTTTATATAGATGAAGCTCATATAACACATCATTTCTGACATTTAGATTGATGTATTTTGCAGACGCTTTTATCCAAAGCGACTTGCATTGCATTTCAAGGTACACATTTTACATTCTTATCAGTTCTTGACTTGAGAAATATCTTCTGTACATATAATGACCAGTTCATTTACACACATTGATGTTGTGCATTAATAATCTTCAGATGTGCAAAGATCTTATTAACACTAAGAACTGTTTAGAGTGATGAACATACACTGATTATGAGAATATACGTGATGTGTAATGCTGTATTATATATATTTTATTCTGATGATTATATTAATGCTGTATTATACATATATTTTATGCTGATGATTATATTAATGCTGTATTATAGAAATATTTTATGCTGATGATTATATTAATGCTGTATTATAGATATATTTTATGCTGATGTGGGTCAGAATGGCTCCTCCTCTTCCTCTGATCTTTCTGCTCATGATTCACGGTGAGTTAATGTTACATTACTTTTTATTTATTTATTTTTTCAAAAACCTCATAATGAGCGTTTAATGAGCAGTTTTCTATGGTATGTTAATGTATTTACTTTTGAAGCATGAAGTTTGGGTTAGGCATGTCAATGGGCTTGTCTATTTTATAAATATCCAGTAGTTTTTTTTAGTTACGTCACAGTCTGAATTGCTAATTTGCTACTTGCTAGTCAGTGTCAGGTGGTTTAGGGGAGGGACTTTCTCACTCATCAGGGCATTTGATTGGGCAAACAGATTTTTTTGTTAATTTCTTCAGAAGACATTGTGGAGATATGATAGAGCAGTGCCAATCCTGTTCCTGGAGATCTACCTTCCTGCAAAGTTCAGCTTCAACCCTGATCAAACACAACTGAACCAGCTGATGTAGATCTGCAGAATCACGTGATCATTGCAGTCAGGTGTGTGTGATTAGGGTTGGATCTGAATCTGATCTCCAGGAACAGGATTTGGCTCCCTTGAGGAAGAGGTTTGTGTGTCAAAAGATTTTTTCAGCATATAGACGTTTTCTTAGACTTAATTGTCATGTGTTTGATTATTTTAGAGGGCAGCATGTTGTTCATGACTGATGTATTTGCTCTGGTTTCACTTCTGTTTATTTCTGCAACATCCTCCATCAAAAATGATAAAGAAATTCACACTTAGATCATTTATCACTCAAAAGCTTCCTAGAAGATTCACTTATAATATTCCCTGTAATGAGTCACTGTTTCCAAGTATACTAAAGTTTTTGTGATCTGTTGGAACTGATAAAACAACATTTTCAGCTGTATGAATTCTGTGTTTCAGGGGTTTCTAGTGCTGGTTGGAGTGTGAGTTACAGTCCTTCACACATCTGTGCACTAAACAACTCAACAGTGATAATGAGATGCACTTATACATACCCTACTGGATATCAGATCAAGGAAGTGTTCTGGAGCAATACAAAAGATAAAAAGAAAGATGAAGTGTTTCCAGATCTGTCTAAGGACACTGAATACAGTCAGAGGCTTCAGTATCTGGGAGATAAACAGCAGAACTGCACCGTCAGACTGAGTCATGTGACACTGAAGGATTCACACATGTACTATTTCAGATTCATCACTGATAAAGAAAAATGGATTGGTAAATCAGGAGTGAATCTTACTGTCACAGGTGACTTTGATGAGGTTTATCTCTTCTTCTCTGCATTATGTTGAATAATAATCAGTGTATGACAGCAGCACTAGATATAATGTGTGTGTTGTGTTCAGATCTTCAGGTGGAGTCTCCTGAGAGAGTGACAGAGGGAGATTCAGTCAGTCTGACATGTAAAAGCAGCTGCGCTCTGACTGACAGAGCAACATTCATCTGGTACAGAAACTCACAGCCATTAACTGAGAGAAGAGACAGAAACAATGAACTCCTGCTGCAGTCAGTCAGAAGAGAGGATTCAGGCAGATATAGCTGTGCTGTAGACGGACACACTCCCGTCTCTCCTGATGTTCAGCTCAATGTCATGTGTGAGTGCAGATTCTTAGTCTTTTTAAAAAACAGAGATTGTGTTTAAATAGATGATTTACGATTTAATTTATGTCTGTTTTAGACCGTCCCATGCGCGTCTCAGTGTGGATGCATTCATCAGTTTAGAGAGTTAATCATGATGATCTTCCTCTTTCAGTTCATCATGTTGCTGGTAGGAATGTGATTGTGATCACAGCGGCATCTGGAGGATTATTCATCATCATCATCATCATCATCATCATCATTCTATTTATAATGTAAATTAAATAATAAAGAGTATAAATATAATTTACTTAAAAACAAATGCAGAAGGATATGTCATTATTATATGAATTATGTTTTATTTGACAGTACGAGAAAAAGAATTAATAGACAATCTGCAATACACAAGTGTGAGGTGAGCTGATCAAAGAACTACAGAATAAACTCTCTCTCTCTATATATATATATATATACTTATATATACAGTAAATACAATATATTTCTCTCTGTTTCCCTGTAGGACGATGATCCAGGCTCATATGCAGCTCTAGACCTCAAGTCCAGATCATCTGACCTCTACGACACACTCACAGTAAATTAAATATCAAAAACTACTCGTGCAAAAGAGTTTGTTCATTCAAAAGTCGGGTAATAAATAATCAATGTGTTTTTTCCCATAGACTGTCCATCCCAGACCTGATGTTCACCAGTCAGACTCTTCTGAATATGAGAATCTGTCCATAAGCGGGAGATCCTCAGGTCTTCATATCACCAATAAAGAAGGAAATGTCCTCATGACTAGTCAATAGATTCAAGTCAGTGTAATCCCTCACGGAACGAAAATATATTTCCCCATATATGATTGATCAGTATATTAAATGGTTTAACAGTATATTTGAAAATATACAGAATAATATATTGTTAATATATTACAGTAAATTGAATAATACATAAGGAATTGCCGCTTTTCATATATTGAAAAATATGTCACAATATTTACTATATATCATAATGTATGTAATTTTATATTCAGTAATACACTTCATACTATATAGATGTATGTGTGCTCAGATATGGGACTGCATGTGTAAAAAATTGCACATATATTTACTCATGTAATATAAACACATACAGAAAAATATATAATATAATATATTACTGATGCTTTTTATTTATTTACATTTAGTGTTTAAAATTTTCAAGCTGATTAACAAAAAGCATGACTTCATGTATTTAAGTATTTAGCCAATGTATTATTGCCATGCTGAGAAGTGCCCAGTTATTACTATTTAAATACAACAATGATAATATTAATAAAATTAGGCCAATCATCAACCAAACCACAGTCTCTCCTCTTCAGCACAATGGTGACCCCACAAACTCACACATACCAGAAAACCTTTTAAATAAAAAATAATAGAACATTAAACACTAACAGATCTCCCCTTTATTAATATTGAGAAAAACACAATAAATATCACTTCATTTTAACATTTACTCTCCTTTAACAGTCAGAGCATGCTGGGAACTAGAAATCTGTTGTAACTCATTCCGTGAATGTGTGTGTATATATATATATATATATATATATATATATATATATATATATGTATGTGTGTGTGTGTGTGTGTGGACATACATTCACATTTATATGGGAACATGTGCAATATATATTTACACAATAAAGGATGAAACTTTGTGAATATTACATGTAATGCTATTTTTGTCTTCATTTATAAATATTTTATATTCATTAATATATAGCCATACATGGTCAAAATTAAAAAAAGATAAGCACTAGTTTCCCATATGTGGAAATGTATTATGTAATATATCACATTATATTTTGATGGTTGCTATCTATCTGGGACCCCAATCAAACACACCTGAACCAGCTCATCAATGTCTTCAGGATTAGAAAGCTACAGACAGGGGAGTTATCAGGGTTGGAGCTGTGGCCCTCCAGGACCGAGTTTGCCCATCCCTGCTTTAGTACTATACTGTTTCAAACGTGTTTTGAAATTGTGATGATTTGGCGCTAGAGGGCGATGATCCCACAGCAAACACCTGGACTGAAAATGTCAGTTGTGTAGAAGCTAGAACAAATGAATATACAGATGTTATTTTCTTTTTTATATAAATTAGGGATGGCCCGATACCGATACTGGCATCGGGGATCGGGCCGATACTGTCCTAATATACTCGTACTCGTACTCATAAAAATTCGCCGATACCACGCACCGATACCACGTACATTTTGCAAAACGAAACTGGCCGCCGCGAGTGCTTTGTCGAGGTGAACTGAGGCATAGGAAAGTATAATGTCGGCAGTTTGGGCTCATTTCAAGATAAGGGATGATGACAACAGCAAGGCAGACTGTGAGCTATGTTCAGCTAAGGTGTCGAGAGGAGGGAAAGAAAGTACATCGTTTAACACCAGCAATCTATTCTAATTAAACATCTGAAGACGCATCATAGATCTGATGGCCGAGCGCGCGCGGGCGGTAATGCACTCACTCTGTGTGTGCGGGTTACGGGAGAATAAAACGATACGCGGGACTCCCGCAAACTAGAAATATCTATGAATAAAACATAAAAACTAAAAGATTTTTATTCATCTCTTGCAGAAAAGCAACAAGAACAACTACAACAAAATAGAAACGATTTACTGGACAGAGTTTCTATTCATAACATGGTTACAGCGTTGAGCGATGTAGCCAATCACAGACATATGTGTTGATTTCTTGAACGCAATGGCCAATCAGAGGCATTTATGATAGACTCCCCTCACCGCTCAAAACTGACTTTTTTGTTCAGTGCTGAATTCTGTATGCTGGCAAATCCTCTAATTATAACAAACAAAGTGTGGATATTATGAAAGATTGATTGTGCAGTCAGCTTCATTGATAATAACAGAGATGTGTGAGATCGCGATGAACTGTCAGCTTTTAGGATTTTTTAAGGGAGCGCACTTTGCGCGCATTCAGTCATGCCAGACCATGCACGCAGTATCTGCTTGCTTTTATGTTAAATTAACAGTGGTTTGTGTGTTAATACATTTATTATTTTACTAATTTTTATTTATTTTTAGACTTGTTAAAACAAGCAGAGAAAAAAATAAAAACAGTCTTCTGACCTGTGTTCTAAAATAGTCGTCTTCTTTTCTGGGAGCCTATTACTTTTGCGGTAGAAATATCGGTATCGGTACTCGGTATCGGCAAGTACACAAATGTAAATACTCGTACTCGTATCGGTTTGAAAAAAAATGGTATCGGGCCATCCCTAATATAAATACCATAAGATATAAACATAAAGCATTTGACTACACACGTAAAACATAAACTTTGTACTTTGAACACAATCTTTATTGTTGTAAATCTTTTTTCAATAAAGTTATTTTTCAACTAAAGGGTTCAGAGTCAGTGATGGTAGATTGTGTATATGTATTTTTATTGTTCTTACTCTGTAACTACATGAAACATGAGGGTAACAAGCACCACTTTAATTTAAAGTCTGCATATGCCACACTAACCCTGTAACTGTCACCATTATGTTCAGTTACTTTCATTATCATGGACTTTTAGTTTGTTTTTATGTTCATCATGTGTTCCTTTGTTCAGTTTTCCCGTTCCTCATTATTATTTGTCAGCTGGGATCCATAATCATCCTCATTTGTGTTGGCTATATAATTTGGTCCCTCACATTCATTCTCTGTCCGATCACCATTACTCTAAGTGTGTGTTGCCCAGCCTGTTAGCCTCCCTTCTGGATATTTGTCAGTAAAGGCACACTATGCCAGCCTGGTCCCACCAGACTCTTACATTTCAATTGTATATAGAGTCTGGCACCGCTCCATTGACAAGCGATATCTTCCTTGTAGGCAGGTACTCTATTGAAGTCTAAAACTATTGGATCTGCCCAGAGTTACTCTGGATCTGCCATTACCAATCACTAACATTTAGTCGTGACATATGTCTTTTCCCGAACCCCGTGGGGAGGAGGGCCACAACATCAAGGCCACCATCAAAACTAAGCAAAGATTGTTCTTGCTCCGGCTTTAACTTCTTGATATTCGGCAGCGTTGCCACAACGGACCCAATGGCTTCGCTCGGATCTTTCTCCACTGCCATTACTGAACTACAACTCAAAATAACGCACGAGTCGACATCAACGTCATCGTTCTCAGCCACTCCCTCTGTTCTCTGATTGGCCCAGTAAAAAATTGACCGAAGGAAAATGAAAATTGAGCGGAAGTACGTAGGAGGGCGGAGCCAGGCTAATATTATGCAGGAATTCCATTTTTGTCAAACAGCGACCCCTAGAGTCGCTGTGGAGTACTTAACATTACTGTCGTAAATACCACTCTCGCAGAGCATCTCTGCACTCACGACCATTTTATTGCTTTATTATAATAAAGTAGGCTACCATGTTTGATGGCTTATAACGTTTTTACATGATTGCAGCTACATTACAAGTAAATAGCCTATATCCTAGGGCTACTGTATAATTTTATTTGTGTTTTTTTAGTGTAATGTAAACATTACAAAATGCCAGATGACATCAATAAAGTTATGTACGTCGCATTATTTCATAACATTGGCCGTTATGATGTCGTTAGACATGATTATTGCAATTTGTCATAATAGTTTGCAAATTGCGCTCATTTACACTATTTACAACATGTAGGCTTATTTATGTCCTGATAATTATGTGAGATATTGACAACTGTTCTCATGATAATCGCAGGAACCAACTTCAACAGTGAAAGTCCCGAGTGGGACTCTTGTCCGGTTCCTGACACGTTCTCGTTTCCTTTTTCTAGACTCTTCCGACCGCGCTTTCTTTGTTTTTTTCTTCGTCGAGTCTGCCATCATGTCTGAAATGCGCGCTAGTGTAGTGTCTTCCATAGAGGGAGCTTCATATGTTGCTGATGTATGGGACATCGTGCCCTAAAGCAAGTCGTGATTCTCGCGAGATTTGGCGGGGTGCCGGCGGAGTTTTTTTCATGTGTTATGGTGCGCTTAGGCTACTCCTGATTTTGTCAGTCATCTCATCTCTTATATACTGTGTCTCTATGATCATATCCTATTCATGGTAGACTACTCATGGACATTGCGTCATCAGGTGCTGTAGTAGGGGCCCCGCATTGATAATCCTGCATAAGGGCCCGCTGTTGGCTCGTTACGCCACTGAAACAAGTTATGACACAATAGTTAAAAAAGATACATTTGATAACATTAACCTAATTAAACTGTTCCTTGCACATACTGTATCTCCTCTGGAAGCTTCCTCACTCCACGTCCCTTGCCTCCTCTCAGTGCTTTAAATATAGACATAAGTTTGAAAAACATTATAATGATTGAGTTTCACCAGTATAACTTATATCACTTTAGTCTAATGTTGTCATGTTTAAACTTTGCTTCCGCTCTCAGCACTAGTTGAAGTGTCATATCCTCGTGTTAAATATAACGTGTTGACCACATAAAAACCCAACACTGGTTTCATTCAGTTCATTTGTCACTGGTCAGTGTTGGTGAAACGGGTAAGAGCATCAGTTACTAATCCATCTTTACATTCAAAAGTGCTTGTGTTTATGCAGTCAGTCATTTGGTTGCTGTTGATCTGATGAGCTTCAACACCATTAGTGACTGAATGAAAACTGATAATTATTTCTATAGATGAAGCTCATATAACACATGATTCCTGATCACACATGAGAAATATCTTCTGTTCATCGAATGATCAGTTCATTTACACACACTGATGTTGTGCATTAATAATCTTCAGATGTGCAAAGATCTTATTAACACTAAGAACTGTTTAGGGTGATGAACGTACACTATTTATGAGAATATAAGTGATGTTTAATGCTGTATTATAGATATATTTTATGCTGATGATTATATTAATGCTGTATTATAGATATATTTTATGCTGATGATTATATTAATGCTGTATTATAGATGTATTTTATGCTGATGATTATATTAATGCTGTATTATAGATATATTTTATGCTGATGATTATATTAATGCTGTATTATAGATGTATTTTATGCTGATGATTATATTAATGCTGTATTATAGATGTATTTTATGCTGATGATTATATTAATGCTGTATTATAGATATATTTTATGCTGATGATTATATTAATGCTGTATTATAGATATATTTTATGCTGATGTGGGTCAGAATGGCTCCTCCTCTTCCTCTGATCTTCTTTCTGCTCATGATTCACGGTGAGTCTCTCTTACATTTCAACTTCTGAGGCGCTAAAGCAACTAGTTGCAGCTCGATTTAGTTATAAAGAGTCTTTCCTTTTCTTCTGATGTTTGAAGCCTGTTTGGATCGTATAATGATGATTACTAGCAGTTTTCTGTGGTATGTAAATGTATTTTCTTTTGAAGCATGAAGTTTGGGTGAGGCATGTCAATGGGCTTGTCTATTTTATAAATATCCAGTAGTTTTTTTAGTTACGTCACAGTCTTGAACATGAATTGCTAATTTGCTACTTGCTAGTCAGTGTCAGGTGGTTTAGGGGAGGGACTTTCTCACTCATCAGAGCATTTTATTGGACAAACATCAGTGTATCGCCAGTGTGTTTTCTTAGTCTTAATTGTCAGGAATTGTTTATAGTGTTCCTTCTGTTGATAGCCTGTTGTTTATGACTGACAACTTAGTTCTGTTTTCACACATCTGTTTCTGTGTGTTTATTTCTGCAACATCCTCCATCTGAGTTCATGAAGTAATTCACACTGAGATCATGTATCACTCCATAGATTCTGAGAAGATGAGCTTTTATTTCCTGTAAAGAGTCACTCAAAATATTGAGTTTTTAAATAGTATTGTCATATTTTCATGGTCTGTTGTAACTGATAAAACAACATTTACATTTGATGAATTCTGTGTTTCAGGGGTTTCTAGTGATGATTGGAGTGTGAGTTACAGTCCTTCACACATCTGTGCACTAAAGGACTCAACAGTGATAATGAGATGCACTTATACATACCCTACTGGATATCAGATCAAGGAAGTGTTCTGGACCAAAACAAAATATACAAAGAAAGATGAAGTGTTTCCAGATCTGTCTGATGACACTGAATACAGTCAGAGGCTTCAGTATCTGGGAGATAAACAGCAGAACTGCACCGTCAGACTGAGTCATGTGACACTGAAGGATTCACACATGTACTATTTCAGATTCATCACTGATAAAGAAAATTGGATTGGTTATCCAGGAGTGAATCTTACTGTCACAGGTGACTTTGATGAGGTTTATCTCTTCTTCTGTGCATTATGTTGAATAATAATCAGTGTATGACAGCAGCACTAGATATAATGTGTGTGTTGTGTTCAGATCTTCAGGTGGAGTCTCCTGAGAGAGTGACAGAGGGAGATTCAGTCAGTCTGACATGTAAAAGCAGCTGCGCTCTGACTGACAGAGCAACATTCATCTGGTACAGAAACTCACAGCCATTAACTGAGAGAAGAGACAGAAACAATGAACTCCTGCTGCAGTCAGTCAGAAGAGAGGATTCAGGCAGATATAGCTGTGCTGTAGACGGACACACTCCCGTCTCTCCTGATGTTCAGCTCAATGTCATGTGTGAGAGCAGATTCACTTAATCTTTTAAAAAAAACTGGAGATTGAGTTTGAATGAGATGATTTGAGGTTTTAATTTTTGGCCCTTTTAGACCCTCCAAAGAGCGTCTTAGTGTCCATCAGTCCATCTGGTGTAATAGTGGAGGGAGATTCAGTGACTCTGAACTGCATCAGTGACTCAAACCCTCCTGCTGAAATCCGCTGGTTTAAAGGAGGAACGATTGTAGGATCTGGAAGAATCTACAACATCTCAAAGATCAGCTCTGATGACAGTGGAGAATACAAGTGCAAGTCCATCAATGAACATGGAGAGAAATACTCTGATACTGTGACTTTAAACGTCATGTGTGAGTTAACGATGGTTCAGTAACTGTGACATTAAATCCTCTAAACATCTGTAATTTCAAGTTTAATATGATTGTTAATTATATCAATGTTTGTCTGTTTTAGATCCTCCCAGGAGCGTCTCAGTGTTTATGAGTGGATCTGGTGTAATAGTGGAGGGAGATTCAGTGACTCTGAACTGCATCAGTGACTCAAACCCTCCGGCTCTGAACTTCAGCTGGTTTAAGGAGAATGAAACCTCAGCTGTTGGATCTGGACAGAGTTTCAGTGCACTACAGAGTGGACGCTTCTACTGTCAGGCTCACAATCAACATGGATCTCAGAGATCAGACGCTGTAACTGTCACAGGTGAAGCTTTTATTAACACACTCCTGTATCTTCACATCATTCATCAGTTTGGAGAGTTAATCATGATGATCTTCCTCTTTCAGTTCATCATGTTGCTGGTAGGAATGTGATTGTGATCGCAGCGGCATCTGGAGGAATATTCATCATCATCATCATCATCATCATACTATTTATTATGTAAATTAAATAATAAAGAGTATAAATATAATTTACTTAAAAACAAATGCAGAAGGATATGTCATTATTATATGAATTATGTTTCCTTTTTTGACAGTGCGAGAAAAAGAATTAACAGACAATCTGCAATACACAAGTGTGAGGTGAGCTGATCAAAGAACTACAGAATAAACTCTCTCTCTCTCTCTCTCTCTCTCTCTCTCTCTCTCTCTCTCTCTCTCTCTAATAAATATCATATACAGATCATATTGTAAATACAATATATTTCTCTCTGTTTCCCTGTAGGACGATGATCCAGGCTCATATGCAGCTCTTGACCTCAAGTCCAGATCATCTGACCTCTACGACACACTCACAGTTAATTAAATATCAAAAACTACTCGTGCAAAAGAGTTTGTTCATTCAAAAGTCGGGTAATAAATAATTAATGTGTTTTTCCCATAGACTGTCCATCCCAGACCTGATGTTCACCAGTCAGACTCAGACAGATATGAGAATCTGGCCATAAGCGAGAGATCCTCAGGTCTTCATATCACCAATAAAGAAGGAAATGTCCTCACGACTACAGAGTAAAAATTGTCTGTGCTACTAATGCTGTGTTCACACTGCACGATGGATCGGCGACAGGAGGTTTCACACTGCATGACTTTACAAAAGAAAGAATCGCCGACAACTTCTGCCTGGTCCGCAAACTACGTTTCACAACCAAACAAACGCGAGAAGTGATAGGAAATAACGGAAGATCGCGCGTGCGTGCGTGAGACCGGAGTTCTCCTGCGACACTGAATTTGTTATTAAAAATGAGAGCCTACAAATTGTCTGTGCACTGATTTGTAGCAAAAAAAAAAAAAAAAAAAAAAAGTTTTTGCAGGAAATGGTTGGGAAGACGAGGGGAGCAAGGACTGTGTTTTGCAAAGAGAGTTTGGGGTAAATAAATAATTTTGCAAATGTCCTGCTGTTGCTGCTGGTCATGCAAATGTTTGTGCTTTGTTTCTGTTTGATATAATTATAAATATAGGCCTATCTATTAAAATACTGATATTCTGGTGTATAACTCCTCCCCGAACATCCTGCTGTCCTGTATCTTGCTCTCTCATTGGCTGTCGGTCATCGCCGATGTAGTTTTCAGTCAGAACACATTCACACAGCAGGATTGTGAATCGCCGACAGGTCCAGATATTTAGCATGCCAAATATCTCACGGGCGTCGGCGACTCGTCGGCGATTCTCTCAGATCGCGTCTTTGCTCATTCACACTGCGTGATTGTCACTCGCGTGAACGAGCACCGATTTGCCTGTGATTTCGGGCATTTGTCGGCGATTTCTCAAAACCTGTCGGCGAGCCAAAATCGGGGCTAAAATCGTGCAGTCTGAACTCGGCATTACTTAAAAAAAAATAATGCCCAATAGCCTATGTTACCATTATGTTCAGTTAGTGTCTTTATCATGGACTTTTACTTTGTATTCATGTTCATCGTGTGTTCCTTTGTTCAGTGTTCCCGCTCATCATTATTAGTTCATATGTGTCAGCTGTGTCCCATAATCATCCTCATGTGTTGGCTATATAAGTTGGTCCCTCACATTCATTCTCTGCCCGATCACCGTTACCCTAAGTGTGTGTTGCTCAGCCTGTTTGCCTGCATTTTGGATATTTGTCATTAAACTTCATTTTGGAACTTTATTCTTCTGCCTTCTTCTGTCTGCCTGAAACCACACGTAACTATATGGAGCAAGTATAGTTTTAGTTATCAGTGAACTTTTGTTTACTAGATAAATGCACAGATATGTACCCTGCAATTTTTAAAAAGCCTATATGTTTTGGTACACTATTAAAGCTGCAGTCGGCAAGTCTGGCAGATTGAGTGGATTTAGGCCAATTTTGAATGTTTACAACTCTCGTGCCCCTCCCCCACTATCAACGGATACCCTCCCACCGAGTTCATGCTCGTCAGTGCGTGTGCACCAGATTTTCAGTGAACGCGCCCGTCTCATCAGGATCCATCAACACCATGGAGTATTTGGAGGTATGCTGTCCTGGCTAATCTACTGATAGATTGCAATTGCTAACGTCATTTATACTCTAAATGAGCTTACTTGATTTTCCGCCATCACTCTTCGTTTCTGCGCGAACTTCAGGCGTGTGCATGTGATTGTAACGTGCGCGAGGGGTGGCGTGTGCCCGATCTGTGATTGACAGTCAGATCTCACACCCCCCTGCGCTGATTGGACATGATGAACCGGGTTAGGGTTAGGGTTAGAGTTAGGGTTGCAAAACAAATAACACGCTCCAGGTGGAGTTAGAAGCTCGGGTTTTTTTCTAAAACCACTTTATTTATGTTGTTCTGTCAGATTATAGTGTCGATTTCTCTGAATATGATCAAAAAAATGTTGCCGACGGCAGCTTTAATATCTATTAAAATATTGATATTGTGGTCTATAACTCCTCACCAAACTTCCTGCTGCTATAAATCTGGGTCTCTCATTGGCTGTTGGTCATTGTCAATGTAGTTCTCTTACGAGAGTATCTCTCGTACTGTGTAATATCTTACGCTATGGGGAAAACCTCTTTTCCACGAGATATTGAAGCCAAAAATTATCCTTAATTTGTAATCAATGTAAAATGCTTTGCGGCAGCACGCAGACACAGGCAAGGCAGCTCGCGCGCCTTTTGGCTGTCCTGCGGCAAAAGCAGCAGCCTATCGAGAGCGGCTGTGCGTGACGTCATGACCAATGGGGGCACTTCGCGCCCACTTCGTCACGTCCCGCCAGAAAGGGTGTGGTCTCGCCCTATAAAAGCAGGTCGATAGGCTGATACAAACTGATTTTCATCTCTTCAGCGAAGCTCACGCACCGCTGGATCCAGAGTGAGAAGCCGCGCCGTCGACACAAGCCTTCAGCGGGACGAGCCCTTGAGCCTGAAGTCGCTGGCCTTCACCTCGCCGCCTTCAGCCACTGTACCTGCTGCGCTTTCCGGCGTACTATATATCCTTTACTCTGCTCTGTGTGTATGTGTGTATGTGTGTGTGTGTGTGTGCTCGCCCCGCGACTCACACGTCTATCATCTAAAAGAGCTGCGTCTTTTTAAAGATGCCATCCTCCTGTCTCGTGCCGAGCCACACTCAGCGACGGGGACCGCCATGTGATGCGTTTCCTGCCTTGGAGAGGATCATGCAGCTCTCAAGTGCAGCTCTCAGACGGCGGCTGCCCTCACTGCGAGCGATTGCCTACGGTGACTCTGAGGACTCGCCTGGCATCCTTCAGCGAGACTGCACTTCCACCCACTGCAGTGCCGCGCCGTAAAAGCGCCGTACTCAGCGGGTCCCCGAGCCTTCTCCAGCCCGTGAAAGCTCGTCGGTTCGCCCGCCAGCTTCACCAGCTTCACTCGAGTCGCTCACTGACGAATAACGGCCGCCGCGTGCCGCCGCTTCCGCCATTAATGACGACGAGATAGCTGCATCTGTAGAGGAGACCTTTATCCTGGCGTCGGACAGTGAGGATTGGGCGAGCTCTGTGGACCTACCCCTTCTGTCCGCGAGTCGTCAGGGAAACGGTTCAGCATCAAGACCGCGAGCCCTAAACCGAGGCTAGCTTTCTTTACGTTATAAGAAATCTACCCCGCCCCCCATGGGCGTGCGTCACCGGCAAAATGAGGAAAGAGTGTGTTTTAGTCCCGCCGAGGCCAGAACAATCTCCATTTCTCAAACATTTCTCAGCTCCTCTTAGTTTGAGTGGCTGAAATGTCAATATTGCAGCAATGAGCCTGTTGTATAACACGCACACCTGCAAACAAACGCCGACACACACAAAACTGTGATTACGTTCTCTTATCTGCTCAAGTTAATGTTGTTCTCCCCTGTGGCTCAGTGGCGGAATGCGAAGCCATCGCGCGAGAGACTCGTGTTCGATCCCGGCTATTTATGTGGAGTTAAATTGAATATGACTTTTGATAAGATGAATCAGAGTAGGGGAAAAAGCTTTAATGACAGAATTAAATTCTTTAAAATGCACAGGAAAACTATGGATTTGCATAAATTGTTCGTATGTTAAAATATTTCCATAATTATCAAACATATTCATAAGATGACTAATATCCCTGTTAAACTAATTCCTTAAAAATACGGATTTATTGGTCAACCAACAGTTTAATAACACTTTGGTCTTTTTTAATCTAGAGGAGAAGATTAAACTTTGACATCCATGCTCTTGTTTTCCTCATAATAATGACAGTGTCGCAAATTGTATGCAAACTGGAAATTGTAATGCGTGCGCACGAGAAACTATCGCTAGTCTTTATTTTTTATTTTTTTGCAAAGGTCCCTTTAGGGGTTCCGTAGTACTTCATATGAATTTGTTAGAAGGAAAATGTAAAATTGTCATTATTTTTTAATTGCTTTAATAAACTCAAAACATCCTGTTTCTCACGATGTGAATGAAGGTGATCTGGGACACCAAACCTCTGATGTGGTCATGACTATTATTCTGATATTGAGTGTCTGTGAAATTGCTTTTGAGTTGTATTGCTTTCACTCTGAATGAAATGGTCAATAAACATTATTATTATTATTATTATAGTAAACTGTATTTTTGTTTGTATTTCATATTTCATTCTTGTATTTCTGCTTCATATCACTATGGCTATATTAGCTCCAGTCCAGCAGGGCGCAGCAGAGAGCAGGTTTATCAGACTGAAGTGATCAGAGAGGAACAGACACATCAGATTCAGGCACTTTCTGCTGTTCCTGCATCATCAATACAAAGCTCCAGTTTGGCCTGTTTAAGTGTGTTTGAGTTTATTTGAGTGTTCACAGATTCCTCTTGTTGGTGTTTGAAGCTGATAACATGTTGAATGTACAATACACAAAGACAGTAGTGTGAGTCTGCAGGGAGTTTTTGAGTTGTACTGCAAGTTTTTATTCTTGTTGAAGGCCAGTGTGATATGAAATCACTTCTTTTTTAGAGTTAGCAGCACATAACACACACACACACACACACACACACACACACACACACACACACAAAACACTACTCATTCTGAAGATCACAGCTCATATGTGTAGACGTACGGTTCAAATACTGTAAGAGCAAATTATGAAATCAAAATATTGAATGCAGAGATATTAAGAACACACCTGGAGCTTGAACACAAGAGTAACTCAGGGTGAAGGAAAAGATGAAAAGCGCAGTAAGCAGAACATTTCTTTAAAGCTGAAATTTAGCACCGAAGCAAAAGTGAAAGTGCAAAAACTTAAAGGTCCCATATTGTCAAAACTGAAATTTCCTGGCTTTATTCATGATAACAGAGGTCTAGAGGGTATGCAACTACCATATACATTTCAAAACAGTCAATCCACAGACTAATGCACACAGCCTGCATAAAGTGTGTCTTTTCACGAGCCGTTGTGACTTCTGTATAAATGTGACGTCAGAACTCAGTCACCGCCTTCAGTCTCACTCCTAACACTGCCCAATGTCCCTCACTCCTTTACCCCAAACCTTTTGTTAGCACGTTTGAGGAGGTGTTTGGTTGTCTCCTGTCGTCACTGATTCGCCGTCTGAGTCAGGCTCGAGGCCGGATAACATTTCCCTCAGCAACGTCCATCATTACAGGGGTTTTATTCACCTTACTTGTGAGCATTCATGACCCTAGTTCCCCGTGGTTGGCCTGGCTGTGCGTCACTCAGAAAACAACAGGCCAATCAGAAGAGAGATTCATGAATATTAATCAGACAGGGCAAAATCGACCTGTTCTTAGCAGAGCTCCCGAGAAAGGAGCTTTAAAAGCATATTGAGATGGTTTTTGGTACTTATACGGCAAATTTATATTCTTAAGGACATAAATAACTAAAATGAAGCTCCAGAAAGGTGTACAATATGGGCCCTTTAATAGAGAGAAGAGTTTTGCTAAACATCTTTGGTTGTGGTGTTTGTGGAAGAGTTGTCTTCAACTATTTTTAGAGGTTTACTTAACTTTAAATTGTGTTTTCTCTCTGTTTGTCAAGTGAAGTCTTCATCATATTGTTATTCAATGTTTCTTGTTAAATAGTCTACATAAAAATTACAAACAACACTTAAAACATGTTTTGTCAGTTCAACTTAGAAAATGAACTTCATGTGGTAAAATCTACAACAACTGGTTTTGTTGAAATGTAAAAACATATATATATTTAAAATGACTGATTATAACTGAATTCAACCTGAAAAACAAGGTTTTACTGAAGCATAAATGTCATTAGATATGACCTCATTTCTCCAGCAAGGTAAAATTACTCAATAAGTTTGATTTAATCTTTTTTTTTAGTTTTATATGATAAAAGTCATTTTCCACCTTGATGTAAATACACTCAAAAGATAATTCACTGTCCTTGGAGAAATGTAGGATCTTCCAAGCTTCTATCATTCAGATTGAACTCAAAGTTAATGGGTTATTTATTTACTTATTTTATTTATTTATTTATTTATTCCATCATAGTGAAAATGGCAGAACAGTGACATCTACTGAGAAAAGGAAAATGTGAATCTCCTGTTGTCACCCACTTGTGTTTAATAACAGGAAGTCCTCATCCCACAATCTCTATTTCCCATCATCCTCTCTGTTCCTGAACACGACAGCGATGTAAATCATCATTCACTTCCAGTTTATGGTCCTCAACACACAGGCCCAGTTCGGCCCGTTTTAGTGTGTTTGAGTCAGTTTAGGTGATCACAGATTCCTCTTGTTGGACGTTGTAGATGCTAACTTCATCACAGGGAAAAATCCACAATGCTTTGACTATTTAAGGTTGAATATGCAATATATATTCCATCATACAGTAGTATGAGCATACAGAGAGTTTTAGAGTGAGAATGAAATCTAGATTTATCTGTCTGAACTAATAAAAACCACTTCCTGTGTTGGTACTATTTAAAAACACGGCACACATCTTAAAGACCACACCTCATCTGTGAACACAAACTGTACTGTACGACTGAGTTTGAGCTAATAATGGAATCAGGGACCTTTTATGTAAGCAGAAATATTAATAACAGATCGAGACCTCCAACACAGAGTCGCAGAAATGATGAAGGAAAAGAGCGAAAGCAAAGTAAGCAGAAAGTTTCGTTTGACGCAGAGACGGTGTTGCTAATGTTTGAGCGGATGAGCAATGTTACGTAAAGTTTAAATCATTGTTTTCTGTGAAAAAACTGTCATTGTTTCGGATTTTATGAAATTTTCCATATTTTAGCGAATAGGAGTTCCAGATGTTTGTCATTGCAAAAGAACATTAAAAACCCCTACAGTTTGTTTAAAAACTTGATTAATAACAAAGGTTGATTTGAAGCATATTTTCTAATAATATGAAGGGTATACACTGATATCCGTGTGTGTGTTGTCTCTGTGTGTCAGGAGGAAGCAGGTGTTTGGTGATGATGTCAGTGTGTCTCGGGCTCATTTGTGTTCTTCTGCTGGTCTTCATCACACTGTACATCACCATCACAGCAGAGAGAGACCTGTTAAAGAGTTACAAGGACACAGTTGAAGAGTTCAATCACACTATCAACAGCTTACAGGACAAGAACACTGATCTAATGACTGAAAAAGACCAACTGAAGAACAACTTCAGCTCTTTGAGTCAGAAGAAACTGGAGTTAGAGACCAGAGTCAATGATCTCAGTGCTGAGAAAAGCCAGTTACAGGGAAGTGTTGATGCTTTGAGTCAGAAGAAACTGGAGTTAGAGACTGAACTAAGGAAGTTATATACACAAGGTTTGTGCAAATGGATTTATATGTATATTTGCACTTTACAACACAAATAACGAGCAACGTTTTTAATGTTTATTGAAAGGAAATGACACGTTTTTCATGTCCAATGAGCCGAAGAGCTGGTCTGAGAGCAGGAAATACTGCAGAGATCGAGGAGCTGATCTGGTCATTATCAACACTGAAGAGAAGCAGGTGAGATTGTGTGAGTGACTGTTAGTTAATGAGAGGAATCACACTTACTCCTGTTTATATTCACACAGAGGTTCATAACTGCATTAGTCAAGGAGAAAGTGTGGATTGGTTTGTCAGACTCTGAGACTGAGGGGATCATGAAATGGGTGGATAATTCACCACTGAAACAGGGGTAAGTGATAAAACACTCACAGAATATCATGTGTATTTATTTGTTTTAGTCTTTTTTTATTCTTATTTTAAAATTAAGACCATACCTCCAGATTGATTGAACATTTGTAGTTCTGAATATTGGAAAATGTGACACATTTTATTCAGGTTTTGGTTCGAAGGTCAGCCGAATAGCTACGCTGGAGATGAGGACTGTATTTTACTGGTTCCTACAGACACCGGCCTGAACAACTGGCATGATTACCCATGCTCAGATAAGAGAAAAAGTGTTTGTGAGAAATAGGTTTCATCCATTCCTGTCATGCTTTTACTTCTATTATCGTATGGAATCAATTTTATTTTAATCACATAATTCATTATTACACTGTTAAATCTAATTAGATAGACTTACTTTAAAAACGCATGCAAACTGATTGTCTTAAAAAGTAAGTAAAGTGAAATAGGAATTGTATGTTGTACTGACAAATTCTTAGTTAGTATAGTAACTTACACAAGAGTTCTAGTAAATAAAAAAGAACTGAGAGCAATTAATGATTTACTTTAGATTTACTCTTGACTTAGAATAGCTACCATTGTTGTGTTTTCATGCTGAATGTTGAAGTCTGTGTGAGAGTCAAGCGTGGTAAAATGGTATTTGTGAATTTCTTATCAGCTTTTAACTGTTGATCTTCAAGTACATTAGCAGATACCCTGGCAAAATGATGTTCATTAGACAGTAGGTTGTTTACAAGGGTGATTGATTTCCTCAGCTTTAGAATCTCGAATGTTTAGTTAGGAGGGTCTCTCAAGGATGTGTCTTATCTCCATTATTATTTATTTTATATACTAATTCCTTTTCAAATTCTTTTAAAAATAGATTTATTATCAAGTATGCAGATGATACTGCTTTAGTGAGCCTTCTACGCGATGGGGAGGAAGAGCATGGACCTGTTTTGGACTTCTTTTTAAAATGGTGTGAGAAATCAAATCTCCTCTTAAATGCCTCCAAAACTAAGGATATGGTTATTGATTTTAGAGTGAGAGAGCAGGATATAACCCATCCTGCATTAATCAAAGGGGAAAAAATTAAATTAGTGACTAATTATAAATACTTTGACATAGTTTTGGACCATAAACTCAAATGGTATGTGAGGGACCAGGTACTGTACGTAAGAAGACACAACATAGGTTGTATTTTTTAAAGAAATTACTATCTTTTAATGTCCTTAGCAGAGTACGTGAGATGATTTATGGGGTTTTAATTGAAAGCGTTATGACATTCTGTTTGAGTTGCTGGTATGGTAATGCTTCACAGGCTCAGAGGAAATCACTAAGAAAAGTATTAACAATGACAAGCAAACTGTTGGGAATTAAGTTAACAAGTATAGAGATATATAAAGAGAGAGTGGAGAATAAAGTTAACATCATTGTGAATGATACGAGACATCCCTTATCTTATGCTTTTGAACTATTGACATCTGGCTGATGGTACTGTGTTCCCTGATGCATGAAAAAACGGTCCAAACTATCTTTTAAACCCCAATCAATTAGATTTTAAAATTCTTCTTCTAGTGTTGATTGATGGTCAGCTGGTCTGGTTATCCTAAAATAGATTTATGTGCTTGAAATTATTGTTTGTATATGCCAACTGTTTTTTTTTTTTTAAATGTATGTGTGAACTTGCTGCAAACTACTTACCCTACGGGGATAAATAAACTTACTTCTACTTCTGAGATATTGCCATACATATAGAGTGATCATATCAACCCAATTAAAACTTTCCCAACATGTTTATGACATAAGTGTAAGCAATGACATTTAAAAAGGCATGAAAAATATGAAAAGACTATTTCATGATTTAGTTAGAAGTTAGATCACTTTTTAAAAGCAACCTTAATACTTATTTTCCTTAGGAAGATAATTACAATAATATAAATTAAGTTCCAAGTGCCCAACAAAGGGGAACACTGATCACCATAATGGTAAGTACAGACAAAAAATTTTTAGCAGGAAATGAGTGAAAAGTCTATTAAGATATATATATATATATTTTTTTTTTTGCTTGACAAAATGGTACTCAAACCAATCTATTAATCTTTTTTTTTTTGAGTAAACAAGGCATATGTGATTAGTGCAGATCACTAGATTTGTACAATAAAGTTAAGACATTAAAGCTGCAGTCCGTAGCTTTTCCTCTTTGTCACCATCTCTGTTTGAAAAGTTATTCGCGGAATTATAAACTTTACGTGAGTTGTGCCTCGGCATGGCACAGCGCGGATGAACACAATGTTTTGAGGAGAATGTACGGCTGTAGGCTATGTCACCGCACGTTAGGCTACTGAAATACATGTCATGCAATGCTGGTGTTGTTAACATTTGCACGCTTTGACGTGATATGATAAGCAATCGTTAGATTTAATCAGCGCGATTTACTGCAATGCTTCTTTCCCCTCAGTTGGTCAGAACAAAAGTGGATGTTACTGTAGATGTCTGACTGAAATAAAGTCTTTTGAACTACTTTCTGTTTTAATACAATGGTCAATTGTCATTATTATCACAGCATTTTTTATTTTATTTCATATTTCATTCTTGTATTTCTGCTTCATATCACTATGGCTGTATTAGCTCCAGTCCAGCAGGGACAGCAGAGAGCAGGTTTATCAGACTGAAGTGATCAGAGAGGAACAGAAACATCAGATTCAGGCACTTTCTGCTGTTTCTGCATCATCAATACAAAGATCCAGTTTGGCCTGTTTAAGTGTGTTTGAGTTTATTTGAGTGTTCACAGATTCCTCTTGTTGGCTTTTGAAGCTGATAATATGTTGAGTGTACAATACACAATTTCCACGCCTGTTCTTGTGTCTTTCTCTCTTCTTCCTGTTTATGACTCTTTTCTTCATTCTTCTGCTCTCTGAGTTTTCTCAGATCTTTCAGGTAGATCTCATTGCTGAAGGTTTGTCCTCCATTGTTCTCCATCATTACATCAATATTCTTCAGGAGCTTTGTGATCTGGCTGGGATCACACTCATTTTTGCTGTTCATCACATGAAATCTTCCCTCAAAATAGTTCAGCAACTCTTTGATATTTTCACTCTCAGTGATTTGCTTAAATTTTCCTCTGGATATTGTTTCTCGTCCAATAAACAACACCATAGTGAACTTCAAAGCTTGAGCTCCAAAGTTCTTCTGAATTTGCTCCACTAGGTTCCTCTGCTCCTCAAAGTTCTCCAGGTTGATAACGAGCAGGAAGACGTGAGGACCAGGATCAGAGAGATAAAGACTCTTCATCATCTGCTTCTTCATCTCTTCATCAGTCAGTTGAGTGTTGAAGAATCCTGGAGTGTCGATGATGGAGATGTTTCTGTCTTCTACTCTTCCTCTCTGTATCTCACTCTCTCTGGTTCTGCTCTCTTTAAATGCCTCTCGACCCAGTATTGCATTTCCAGTTGAACTCTTTCTAACTCCAGAGACTCCAGTTAACACAATCCTCAGATCATGTGAATCAGGTGCTTCATCAGGGTCTGTTAAACAGGCATTAGCACCTTAATTAGCTGATGCTTTTCTTGCGACTGATTTTTTTTTTTTTTTTCAGGATTTTTCATGTTTAATTAAAGAAAAAGATAAAGTTAATTCCAAACATTGAATTATTGCATCTGTTGCTCCAGTAAAGCAGTCTGCCAGTCTGCGGTATTGTGTATCCTCTCACCAGACTTATGCAGTCTCAGAACAGTCGTTTAGGGGCAGTGAAAGAAGCCATTTGCTTTATTAGATGTCATTGTGCCATCAGAATAATTGAAACTGATATTTCAAGGTAAAACACAAATATACAGCTTTAAATGCCATTAAGGAATATCCTGGGTTCAATACAAGTTAACTCTTTCCGTGCCATTGACGGAAATGTCCGGCTTTCCTTATTTTCCTTTTATACGGTAGAGGGCGCTATTACACATCTTCTGAAAGAGTAGATAAAATCCTGATCAAAACAGATCAAAACACAGGTGAAGACAACGCTATCTCATTATCTATTCATATTTTACGAGGTGGCCAATTCGTACGAATTCGTATGACCTCACTCGTACGAATTTGTGCGATTTGTCTGACTCGCAGCGATGGGTGGGTTTAGGGGCGGGGTCAGGGGTAGGTCATTCGTAGGAATTCATACGAATACAATATATATGCATCAAATATATCAAACTTAGCAAAACATGTACAAATTCGTATGAGATAGGTCCTACGAATTTGTATAAATTAGGCACCCGAAATTGCCGTGAGATTGGGTTGATGAAGAAGATGAAGCAGAAACAAGCAATCTCATATGTAATCCTTTTTATTTTCATAAAGCGAGATCGCCAACAAGCGCCAAATGTTACTGTCGACCCAGGACGAGCTGTAGGAGCACTGGGGGTGTTGATGGACTCGATCTACTCCATCTGTGTTTCGACCATGATCCAGTCTTTTGCTCAGCTTTTTGCTCAAAATGTTGCTTTTTTATTTTGAAACTTGTACAAATGTACGTGTTGATTAAAAAAGCTAGAAAAAAATGGTTTCTGTTTTTTAAAGCAGATGCTGTTCTCTTTCTTTTGATATATTCCATGGTCAGATATTCATACAACAACATATTGTAGGGGCCATTATGTTTTTATAATAATTATCAAAAATGCTGGCGATGGCTGGCAACTTTTTTTTTTTTTTTTTTTAACTCTAGTGGGGAAAGAGTTCAGATCAGTCAACAGTATTTGTACCATAATGTTCTTTTGTTCTTCATGAGTTTTTTTGTGTGCTGCCTAAGCTGTAAATAATTTCTACAGTTTCATTAAGGTTCGTGGTTTGAAAATGGGATATAACTTTACAAGCAATTATTATTATTATCATTATTATTAATTTGCACTAAAGTCATGTTGATGCACATATTTTTCAGGTCTTGTGGCTATGTACTACTAAATCAGTGAGTATTTTCCCAATTAAATTCAATTGCTATGTTTTTAAAAAGAAGGAACAAGTAGATATTTATGGTACAACAATATGCCACACATGCTATCGATTGAGCTTAACTTGTCTTGAACTATGAACTTGAACCTGGTTGGGAACCTACATCTTCTATTTTACACATTTACTGACCGTGTTGTGCTGATGCCATTGTTTTGTCACTTAATCACTCCTCTTCTTATCTCACAGTGCCAGTGATCACAGTATTTCTGTAGATATAAAAAAATACCACAAAGACTGAAAATGCAGGTAAACATAGGTTGTAGGTATACGTTAACAATTAATTTAATGAGCTTATAAAATGACAATAGAGTACTTCATTTAAAAAAAAAAGACTTTATTTCTGACAGACGTCTACAGAAGTTCTTATTGAGAATTAACAGCGGTTTAGATGTTGATGTCTTATTGCAATTTTGTTCTTCAGGAATTTTTTTTTTTTTTTTGCAACAATTCTGCATTGATGACAGACAAATGATTGCATTAAAGTGGTTTGAACAACTCCTCTTTCTGTTTAGCTGACTTACTTGTGGAATTGAAACATTGAAAAGAAAGTAGCAGCTCAACTGATAACTCTCACTTGTGACAGTGACACTGATGTGATCTGTGTGAGATTGTCCAAAACCTCTTATAAGATAAAAAGTTGAGACATATAGACATAAACACTCATCATGCAAACCTTAAAACTGGTTAAAATAAAATGTAATATAAAATTTGTGGAAATAAATACGGGGAAAATCGGCCCTAGTAATGCGTGATTATAATCAAGTTAATTTCCTCTCGAGGACAATTAAAATCTATCTATCTATCTTAAAGCATTTACTTTACTTTTCTTCTTCAATCACTAGAGAATAATGATTAATATTGCCTGAAACTCTCACTGATAGAAAGAACATCAGTATCATCATCAAAGCTTTATGGTCAAAAACAAAAAGAGTCCACATTGGCTAAAACGCCATTGGTTCCACATTTTAGAGAAGAACCTGACTGATCTTAGTGCCGGGTTCGTCAGTGTTGAAATGATCCTGTTTACAGAGTGATAACCAACACATACATGTACATGATGATGCGCACAGCACAATAGGTGGGCACTTCAACACTGACAAATATTTGGCTTTTTTTTTTTGGCACATTAAATAGCAGCTTCATCCCATCATTATATTAAACATTGAGTTTCTGCATGCTCTTTCTGTAGCGCTGCCACAAATGGCCAATATAGATAGGTAGGGCTACAATATGCACTAAAAAGTATAGTCTTTACAGATGCTGAGCACATGCTAAATTTGCAAATCAACATGTTAGCTTGTGCATAGATCATACGACACTGTCTGTCAATGTCCCTCATCAGACAGGTCATCAGTTATAGACAGGTCATCAGTTATAGACAGGTCAACAGTTATAGACAGGTCAACAGTTAGATAATGTCCTAAGTAACTCAGGGTCCTGGTGTCAGCTGTATAATAGATGGAGATATGCTTCAGCCTATCAGTCCAAGTGTGGATATTTTCTTAACCCTCTGGAAGAGAGAGAGAGAGAGAGAGAGAGAGAGAGAGAGAGAGAGAGAGAGAGAGAGAGAGAGAGAGAGAGAGAGAGGGAGAGGGAGAGAGAGAGGGAGAGGGAGAGGGAGAGAGAGAGAGAGAGAGAGAGAGGGAGAGGGAGGGAGAAGGAGAGGGAGAGAGAGAGAGAGAGAGAGAGAGAGAGAGAGAGAGAGAGAGAGAGAGAGAGAGAGAGAGAGAGAGAGAGAGAGAGAGAGAGAGAGAGAGAGAGAGAGACTCCTGATGTCTTTTCCTGTAAATCAGCAGGAATCCTGCAGAGCTCTGTTTTACTTTTAGTTTCACACAGGAAAACAGAAGGAACACACACATGGATAAGGTATAGCTAATATCAAAGTAATATTGTTTAAATAGTTCTCAGTGGATTTTATTATTTGTGCAGTAAATCTTCACTCATTTGTAGAAGCGGCTGATGATGTCACTGAATTATGTTTAGGGAGGTTACAGTGTTGAATTGTTCTCACCGCTAATTGTTCCAGATTTTCCTGGTCGACGCCTCTGCTTTTCTTGGCTTGTGTCTTTATTACATTATATAGTATTTTTCTTTGCTTTGTCCGTTTTTAGAATAAGTTTGTTACAACATTTAGGCATTACATCAAAATTGTTGAACAAGTTTTCACATTATGCATGTACAGTTTTTCCCTGAGGAGATTGTCATATGTTCACATTTCTACTTTTGATTTTTGATTGTTTTTCTTGTGCTGTCTCTTCCTTTCTGTATCGCAATGGCACGGTCTGTCATTACAAATTACAGTACAAACAGTGAAAGCGTAAATGTTAATCCTGTCCAGTCTCTTGCAGTCCGACTCCCACATACACTAATTTAACCTACAATTTACAATAATCATCATCAAAACTTCATCCATAGTTTACATCAGAACATCTCTCCAGAGGACACTGTTATATTGACGACATGACTGAGCAGTTTCACTGTGTTATTCGTACACAACGACACAAGTCATTCTGTTCATTGACACAGATATTAACTTTTGAGAGATGAACTAAGGATTTTGAGCAAGAGACTGGCTTTTGCAGGTAATACATGGTGTTTTGCTATTTGCACGCATTGTTTTGAGAAATACACTTAATGTTTTGCAAATGTTGAGGTTGATTCGAGAAATGTACCAAAGCGACTGAGAAAAACTGTAAATTCAAAAAACTGTAATGTAGAGAGATAGACATTTACATAATATTCATTGTAAGTATGTATCTGATTGTTTATTGGTTGTCGCAGGTGTTGCTATGGTGATGTCAGTCATAATGGCTCTCCCTCTGATATTTCTGATCATGATTCACGGTAAGTGACTGATGTTACAGCAACACTTCACTTTTATATTCACTGATCAACATAATATTACTTATATCATATTCAAAGTGTTTCAGTATTTTCCATTTATTTTCATATATTTATGATCGATATAATATATGGAATAATAATATATTGTGTCAATATATTGTTACATATTATAATATATTGAAAAATACCTAAGAAATTGCTGCTTTTCATTTATTGAAAAATGTGTTTACAATGTATTTACACTATACAATGTCATTAAACGAGGAAAACGATTACTTTAGATTTATCATTGATGTTTGACTCAAATTTGTAAGTTGCTAAAGACATAAGAGTGTCAGGACAATGATAGACTGATCATTTATTTGTGTTTATTAAACTACAAATACTTTGTGGATGTCTCTACTCTTGAGCACAAAACCCAGAGATCAGAAACACTTTAAATCCCAAAAGAACATTAAACATTTTTGTGAACACAAGGTTTTAGTGTAATCAATGATGATTGTGACATCATCAATAGATTTTCTCTATAACAACATACACTTGACTCTATATTTGTATTTGTTTATTCTGTTAAGTCATAGTTTTGTCCTTAAAACTCTTATGTATGTTTTGATATTAACAACTTACAATTTTAAGTAAAACATCCTTGGGGAATTTAAGGCAATTGTCTCTGGCTCCTATAAGTGTGTGTTATAGCGAGATAAAATGTGATCAAGTACTTGTCTATTAAAGATATTATCATATTGTAGTGGCCTGATATCATCCATTAACTAGTCTCCAGTATCAAATTTTAAAATATCATTATAATCTAGGACTTCTAGGAATGAGATCAGGCAGCATTTCAATCAGAAAATCTGAAGCATTAAAAAAAAAAACTTGTATAAAACAAGTTTTTAACCCTTACATTGAGACAAACATAAACCTCAAGAATCAGTGCGTGAATCTCAATAAGGCTGACATGTTTCATGCCGCAATGCATTCTGGGTGCATCATTCAACTCATCAGTGGCTCCCAGAATGCTTTGAGGCATGAAACATGTCACCGTAATTGAGATCCACGCAATGATTCTTGAGGCTTTTTTTGTACAATTAAACAAATTTTCTGATTTAATTACTGTTGGATAGCATGCTGTATATTGTATCAAATACACTCACCGGCCACTTTATTAGGTACACCTGTCCAACTGCTCGTTAACACTTAATTTCTAAGCAGCCAATCACATGGCGGCAACTCAGTGCATTTAGGCATGTAGACATGGTCAAGACAATCTCCTGCAGTTCAAACCGAGCATCAGTATGGGGAAGAAAGTTGATTTGAGTGACTTTGAACGTGGCATGATTGTTGGTGCCAGAAGGGCTGGTCTGAGTATTTCAGAAACTGCTAATCTACTGGGATTTTCACGCACAACCATCTCTAGGGTTTACAGAGAATGGTCCGAAAAAGAAAAAACATCCAGTGAGCGGCAGTTCTGTGGGCGGAAATGCCTTGTTGATGCCAGAGGTCAGAGGAGAATGGCCAGACTGGTTCGAGCTGATAGAAGGGCAACAGTGACTGAAATAACCACTCGTTACAACCGAGGTATGCAGCAAAGCATTTGTGAAGCCACAACACGCACAACCTTGAGGCGGATGGGCTACAACAGCAGAAGACTCCACCGGGTACCACTCATCTCCACTACAAATAGGAAAAAGAGGCTACAATTTGCAAGAGCTCACCAAAATTGAACAGTTGAAGACTGGAAAAATGTTGCCTGGTCTGATGAGTCTCGATTTCTGTTGAGACATTCAGATGTTAGAGTCAGAATTTGGCGTAAACAGAATGAGAACATGGAACCATCATGCCTTGTTACCACTGTGCAGGCTGGTGGTGGTGGTGTAATGGTGTGGGGGATGTTTTCCTGGCACACTTTAGGCCCCTTAGTGCCAATTGGGCATCGTTTAAATGCCACGGCCTACCTGAGCATTGTTTCTGACCATGTCCATCCCTTTATGGCCACCATGTACCCATCCTCTGATGGCTACTTCCACCATGTCACAAAGCTCTAATCATTTCAAATTGGTTTCTTGAACATGAACAATAGAGCATCTTTGGGATGTGGTGGAACGGGAGATTCGCATCATGGATGTGCAGCCGACAAATCTGCGGCAACTGTGTGATGTCATCATGTCAATATGGACCAAACTCCCTGAGGAATTCTTCCAGCACCTTGTTGAATCTATGCCACAAAGAATTGAGGCAGTTTACTAGCATGGGGTACCTAATAAAGTGGCCGGTGAGTGTATATCATCGTCATCATCATCACGT